TAGCTCAGCAGTACAAATGCCTGCCTGGCAAGCACAAGGCCTGAATTTAATTTCCAGTACCACAAAGAAAGAAAAAAGAAAATATCTATTGCAGTCCTGATGCCTAATATCTACACGATGTGTTGAAAATCTGTGCACCAGCTTGGATTGGATGCTAGGGATCATAGGTTTGTTTAACACATGCCCTCTGGTTTGAAGTACCATTGATACAGGCATGACTATCTCATCAGAATCCTTGTGCCACTGGTGATACAAATGGATCTAATCACTTTTTATCAATCTGTTTACCAATAAAATTAATAAAAAATACTGCCATATGGAAGAATCATTCATGTACCACTGATTGTTCAAGCCACCAAGCAGTGAGAACACATGAATTAGAGCCCTGTAATGCACATGTTAAAGTAAGATTCCCCTGCCTGTTAGTAAATCCTGAAGAATAAAGAAAAATTAACAGTGATGTGTGTTATATTAAAAAATAAGACAAAAGATCACGTCTATGTACATGTAAGCATATATGTGTTACTGATTTATCAGCAATAATATAATGCCTTAATATAAAATGCTATGTGAAGTAGCAGGAATACAAATAAATATAAACCATATATATGTTTTATATGCAGACATATACATATGATACACATGCATGTTTATATGTACACACATGTACATATATCGATATGTATATTTACATATAAAATGAATGCCTAGGGGCTTAGCTCAGGGGCATAAATGCTTGTCTTGCAAAAACAAGGTCATGAGTTCCATCCTTGATACCAACAACACAAAAAAGAAAAGTGAGTGCTCAAGAACCATACAGTTAAGATACAAAAGACTTGAGTCTGGACATGGTGCCATTAATCCCTGTAATCCCATAACTTGAATCACTAAGGCAGGAGGATTGCCAAGAGTTAGAGGCCAGCCTGAACTGCATTGTGAGATCTAGTAGAACGAAAAAAAGAGAAAATGAAAGAAAGAAAGGAAGGAAGGAAGGAAGAAAGAAAGAAAGACTAACAAAAACTATTAATCTTGGTAAGTCTCCGGGCACAGTTTTCCCTTTCTCTAAATTGCTTCTCACTTGTTTTAAGTAAACTAGTTAAACATTTTGTAAACAAGCCACATTTTGATAGTAATGCGGTTAGACCCCCTACAGCCATCTAACACCTACTAGGCAAAATACTAGAAAGCTACATTAGTCCAAAATATTTACTGAATTCTCTACCCTTTGCAAAAGGATTCTGTGCAGTTGCCAAAACTATGAGTGATCATTATCTCACTTTAATGTGCTGTGCAGAACTGGGTGTGTCTGGGAACTCCGTGATCTGAACATTACCTTCCATGACACTTTCCTAATAATGAATGTGGCTACACTTGGGAAACAGTCTTACAAAGTACTACCCCTTTACAGTAGTTATTGTTCATTCATCAGGACAGAGGATTGGATTTGGCTTCTCATTATCTTTTATGAGGTACCTGTTTCTCTGTGCACAAAGATGCAAACTCATATATACACATTATTTCATGCACGTGTGTCATCAATTATTACAGTTCACATTTTCCTTTCCATAATCTATATGCATATTTTTAGCCAGCTAGTTTATTTGGTGTTTTGTGTGTTATTCATTTACTAGCATTAAATGTACAAATCAAATGCAAAATGAAAGAAATATAATGATTAGTAAAACATGGGCTCTTAACTAAGAGGCAAACATGTTAATATTAGAGTACTCAAGAACAATTATATAATAATTTGCACTGAGTATGTGTAAAAGAAATGCAAAAATAGTTGTGGCTTTAAACCTAAGGGATTTGTTCTGTCCCCCACAAAAGAGAAGTGACAGTGTAGGAACCAGGCTCTGTTTCTTTCCATTCTCAAGGCTGTCTCATTTTTTAAGAAGCTTCTAGAGACAGCAGGAAGGAAGGAAAGCAGAAGACATAAGGGGACCCACCCCCCCCACACACACACACAGCTCAGTTGGCTTCCTTTAGTAATCCAGGCAGAACATAAAATACTTTCATTTTTATTTCAAAATCATAATTGTTCACAAAGCCAGGAGAAACGCATCCTTTTAAATCATTCTAAAAAGTTCTCTTACGGGGAAAAATAAAGAGAGGTAATGGTGGCAACCAGTAATGTCTATTACATAAAAGTATGAACAAAAGACTAAGGCAGTATAGAGCAGAACAGTCAACTCTAGAATCTGTAAAAGAAACTTTTGAGGAACAGATATTCAATTTAGAGTTTGAAGGATGAATAGGAGTTATCCAACTGAGGGTTCCAGACAGAAATGGTAGTACCTGTAAAGGAATAGAGAGATCTGGCATCTCATTACCAATTCAGCCTATTTCTACAGTCCTAGTTATTTTTCTCTCTGTTATTAATAGGTGCTAAAGTAACAGTTTAACTCATGTTTAATTAACAGTAATTCAAGATCAACATGTTAAGATATGTAAATAATAATTATCTTCAAATAATTGTTACTTTCCCATTTGGACCAAAATAATGTTTTATCTGATGATAAAGTAGTCACACTTTAAAAACTACTGAGTGAGTTAGAATATTTTGGCATCCTAAGGAGAAATTGATACAGAAAAGAGAAAAAAAAAAGAATTGTGTCGGGGAGAAATTTGTCTTTCAAGCTCTGAAGTTAAACAACACCCAGTTAGAACCGGCTTGGTTCATATCCTCCGTTCTGTGAAGCCAGCCTGAGTGTGTTAACTCAGGAGTCTGGCCAAGTTTGCCTTGAAGTCTGTCACCTTTTATTTAGCTGCTTCTAATATGACTGTTACTTTGGATCTATCAAGCTGAAGTGTTCTTGTCTTAAAATGGTTTTGGAACCATAAGAAATCCTTAGGATTAGAAAGGGATTTTTATGATGATCTCCTTTGGCTCTATTTGAGACATAAGAGTCCATTAAAAATTTTTCCACAGAAATTCAAGTCTTTTGAGAAACCTGAAATTCCTATAACTTAAGGAATACTTTCAGCTAGGTTTTAGGTGCCTGACAGTAAACATTTCTATGCCTACTACTCACCTGGTCTTCCCGCGCACCTCACTAATGAGCTAGTAAAGGATACAATAAATCTCACAGCAATCCCTGCCTTCAGTTGTTAATCCCTGTTCTTCATTTGTCAGCTCCAGCCCTTCCTCCGTCCAATCTTCACTGGCCTCTTTAAGCAAATAAGCTCTCTGGATTTTATGTTTGCAGAATACCATGTATCTTCCAGCTTTGCTTGTGATTATTGTTTCACTTTTATTTATGTGATTATTTGAGTAATATCTCCCTCCCTCTCTACACTGTAAATTTATGAGGGTGGGCCCTTTCCTGCTTTATAGATTCACCATTGAGCTTTGCTTCTAGCATAGTATCTGGGGCATAGCAGGGTCAGTGTTGCTTAGCTGATACATCTTCAAAACATTCACACTCTGCTCCAAATACAGGAGTAAATTCAGGTCCATGTACAGATAAGAATTTTGAAGATGATTTTATCATAGCCATATAGAGGTACACCAAAGAAGTCTTAAGCCACCATGTTCTTGGATTAGCATGGAAGAAACTTGGTTGAATTCTGATCTGGCCCCCTTGTGTTCCCTGAACAGATTGAGATAAACCTGCAGGAGGAAGCAAACTCCCCTTTGCTCCCCACTTTAAAGCTCAGCACTATGTTCTCCTGCTATGTCTACATTTCAAAAAATGTGTAAGTGTTGCAGGAGTTGTTGCTTTGTAATCTATTTTAAAAGGTATTTTAAAGGAGCCATAAATATTATCACATCTTAAAAATAGAGTACAAAGATAACAGAATGCTAAATCCAATAGCTATATTTTAAAACATTTGCTTAAGTACATCTTTATGGTTACTAATATATGAGGTACGCAAGGGAAATAAATCCACAAAAAAGGCAAGATTTTGGAAAGCAGGAGGAATTTTTGGAAATAAGCCCCTTCAAATATCAGTCTTATTCTCCTTTTGTCAAAAATAGTAATTGAAATGGTTTGAGAATAGAATTAGTTCTTTTGGTATTAATTCAGACTAAAACTACAAAATGTACAACCTGGTATAGTTTAGTTTTTTTTTTAATGCCAACACTGGAAAGAAAGAGTAACGATATGAATCAATTCACCTACCTACGTTGTAAATGGTGATTTTTGTCAAACCCAGTTGGACCAGGTATAAATGTTTTTACGAGAAGTACAGTATTTAGCCCTTGTCTGGGTAAGTGACCTTGGACACGATTCATGACCTCAAGTATCAAATGGGGATACCTTATAGGATCATTAGTGAGCAATTGGTATTGTACCTGGTCCGGATGGGGCCAGGCAAACAGCAAGGTCTTGATACTGATCACGTCTGCCTGCCGTACCAGCTCTCACCCTTTTGCACACACATACATTAATCTTGTCTCTGTTAGCCAATTATATTTCTCTTTTCTTAGATGAGGTGCTAGCTAGAAAAGGAAACGCTTTTACTATTGTATCATTCTGAAAACATGTATTAAGACGGTTCAGTGAACAGTTTTGGAATCAACAAAAGCAATACAAAAAACCCATGTCCTTCTGCCACTTACATCCTGAGGAACAAATGGAACATGGAGATTATTCATAGAAGGCTTTCAGCTACAGTTACCTCATAGCTGTATTTTTTGTCATTTGGTGAATCATAGTTATTGATACTGAGAATTCTTTTGAAATTGATTCTATATCATCAGTAATAGAGAATTCTCTTCTCTTACTTTCTCTTCATCCTTTCTTATGCCTGTACTCCCATTCTCTCTTGTCTACATTTTTTGTTTGTATATTTGAATTGTAAATATATCTTTATTCATGCTGAATTTTTTTCTCGTTAGCTTGATTTACATTCTAGTTTAACTCAGTCCTCCCTTCTAGAAAGGCTGTTTTATGCCCTTCAGAAATGAAGGGAGGGTCATTTGTGGTGATTGGCCCACGGGTCTCTGTCTTGTTAGGTGCCCAGTTGAATTGTACATCTCTCTTTCTCGTTAGATTGTTGGCTGCGACCACCAGCTGGGAAGCACCGCTAAGGAGGATAACTGTGGGGTCTGCACCGGAGATGGGTCCACCTGCCGGCTGGTCCGAGGGCAATATAAATCCCAGCTCTCTGCAACTAAATGTAAGACACTACAGAGATGGGGCAACCTCTGTTCTCATTGGCATGTTATCCTCCCCTGGCTTAGCTCTGGCTTCTTTAAGAAATCAAGCAACGACACCTCCATGAAAGCGGAGAGGAATCTGAAATGGTAGAAGGTTTCATGTTCTTGCCTCATTAGTTTGTTTCAGTGGGACAGGTCAAGTCACCAGTTATCACCCCAAGGAAGGAAACTTTCCTTCTGAGGCATGGCAGAAGTGAGCTAGAGAGACTCTGTGGGCAAACATGCATATTACTACCCAACAGGAGGACAGACTGCATCCCAGCTCCTGCCTTTTGTATAGTCAGATGTGACTAGTGAATATAGTGGGGAGATTGCAAAAGTTCACACAAATGTCCTCCTCCCATTGCAAAATCACATGCTCTTCTTCATTGACAAAGTAGTCTTTGTTCAGAGCTGTCACAGGTTCTTTCAGAATTAAAGATTGCATGGATGGTATGTGATTGTATGTGCTGAGAACTTCATTAAGATCATCTCATTTCATCTTTACAACAACTGTATGAGCATAATAGGATTAATTTCCTGGTTGTGGATAAGATACCTGCGACCTATAAAGATTATGTGACTTATTCAGAGTCACAGTGCCATAAAATAGCAGGGCCAAGATTTGAGCCCAGAGACTGATTCCAAAGTCAAATCATGCACCTGTTCCACTGGACTATCTTGTAACTGCCTCTTTAGTAGAAACAGATAGATGGACCAAGCTTGAGTAGCTCAGATTCCCACCTATCTGAATCTTATTAGGTAGATGGCAGAAATTCCATGACACCTAAGCCAATAACAAGTCACAGATTAACCCAGACCATGTCATAATATACTATCTTCTGTGATGGCTACTGTTCTAGGTTCTACAGATAGAAGATATCTTTTGTACTCAAGGACATTTATTGTTAGAATTATGTTGAAATTTCTGGCCAATTGTCTCCAGATTCTACTACTACAGGATATTTCAATAGACCTTTGATTATCCCTTTCCCTGGCTCTCTTGGGTTGGGAAATACCAATGAATAAGTTTACTAAGTATAGTTTTCTTCTCTTTAGTGTTGACTAGTTGGAGGAAAACAATTAACATATGGCAGGTTTATGACTTTAAATGGAGTTGTAGGTCAAAAAGAAAGGCAGGTATAGTTGTTCTGATATGCATGGAGAGCTAGTCACAGAAGTCATGAAAAGACCACTTGCCATAAGGGTAAATCTCTAGGGACAGGAAAAAGATGGAGAACTTTTAAGCACATGAAAGATTGGAAGTCCAACTTTGGGACCTGTTAGCATTGTAACTTCCTGGAGGCAGTGAAAAATGTGATTCTGTAAAATTTAAAAATTTAGAAGACTCTGGCAGATAGAATGAAAGATGAAGTAAGTTAAACATTGATAAAGCCTATTCAGGAAGGATTTTTCATTGCTACTGTGTGTTGTAGCTTCTTTTATAAGATGAAAAATTAAAGAAGTTAGAAGATGGAAACCAGGAAAAGGCATAATTCTTTTGTAAATACCTGAGATGATTTTCAATTACATTTAAAAATTTGGATATTTGATAAATTAGATATTGTCATCTTAGAAGTAGTTGTTCAAGTTACAAAATCAAAGCATAAAAAGTAGACAATCAAACAATGACAGTACAGACCATTCTGTTTGATGAAATAACAAAAACTTAGTAGTATGGTTAGCTATCTTAAAAATGTATACAGTTATATCTTTAAAGCACTTTCCCTTTCATAATTACAGTATCTTGGGTTTTTAAAAATTCTGTATTATTTATACCCTTTTATGTTTTTCTTTTTTCTCTAAATAAAATAAGAAAAAATTTGGATATTTGAAAAATTACATTTAAAATGTCACTCTTACAGGACTCTTTAAGGAATTTTGGAAGGATTAAAATATACCTAATCATTTGTTTTGGGTATTTTGTTTTGTTTTGTGCCAGGGATCAAATTCATGACCTCATGCTTGCCAGGAAAGCGCTTAAACCACTGAGCTAAATCCCCAGCGATATCTAATTATTTGTGACAAAATCAAATCAATTCTAATTATCTAGGAACCTAGGACTTGCCTTTGTACAGGAATAGGTCTGAGAGCATGTTTCCTCGGTGGAGTCTTGCATTACTCTCATGTCACCCACCTTCCTGTTGTCATAGAGGAATTAGAACACTAGCTCAAGAGACATTTCTCTCACCTGCCTGTTAGGGATGATCAGCAACCCTCTCGGGTCCTGAATCACTGGAACACAGGTGGGAAAGCTTTGAAGGAACAAACTGAAGCAAACCGAGAGCCATAGGTCATCTCCGAGCCTGCAAATAAATACCTCAATGAAAAGTGCTCTGGTCTGTCAGATTTAAGCCAACAAACCCTGTTAGAGAGACAAATCAAGACGCAAGAGACAGAGAATATCTTTGTCAAGGGGCCTCAGGTCTTCACCGAAGTAGAGTGAAGCTCCAAACTCAAACCTTCAGCTTTATCAAGGAACAACAAAGGCAATAGCGTTTTGCGAAGTGCACACATTGGTTTTAGGTAGCAAGGCAGGCACGCAAGGTATGGTGACAGTTTGCCTAAATAATTAACTTCTATCTGATGGTCCCCTTGGGAGCTTCCTTGTTTTCCCTGTAAGGTCCATCTCTGCATGAGCTGGCAAAACATCTTGTCTTCAAGACTTTCTGGCTCCTTGAAATTAGCAGTCTTCTACCCCCTGAGTCAACTCCGGCAGATAGTGACCTGTTGGGTGTCTCCAGGAACTCCACACTAGTCAAGACTGACAATGGGTAAATCATATCATATACAACTTGATGATTATACATAATGACAAAATGCAATTGATTCATTTACCTTAGCACTGATGATGCCTCATGACAAAATGATTTATATCAATAGAGCCCAGCATATGCATGTACCTCACCACAATCTATAGCAGATGCTGAACATACTACCTGGCTCATGTTTTCTGCACCCCAGAAGAATCTTCTCTACAGACTGAGGAAAGCCCCCAGACAGGGGAGATAAGGCTGCATTGTGGGCCCAGAGAACTGGCCAGGTGAGCTGTGCTCCACCCCTGTGGGTCTGCAGGAGTTCTGCCAGCTCTGTCCTCATGCTCTGCCAAAAGAAACCATAAGCCAGCCACATGCGCACTTCAAACTCCTAGCACTCAGATTCCCCACATTGAACTCATTTTCTTTCTAAATTTATATCCAAAGTTTTTTTTCCCCCTTATATTATCAAGACTCAAGGGAACAAAGAAAAAACAGAAGAGTGGAGAAAGATCATGGTAGAAAGTGCCAGAAGGAAAAAGAAAAGTAAGAGGAATTTATCAAATGGTCACCATTTTTGCTGGTGGATAAAAAGAAACCATCTTTGTATAAAGACATTACAATTGCCTATTATAAATTCAGACCATGAAAATAAAACAAAATATAGCAAAACTCCCCCCTTCCTCTTAAGGAAAAAGACTGTCTACTAAAGACAGCCTATTTGCTATCTTGTTATCTCCAGCTTTGCACATCTCTTGTATATTTTTGTATGTTTTGAAATCACTTGAGTATCCTAAAGCTTGTCCTCTACCCCATGCATAGAAAGGGCAAAATAAGCTACTTTGTATCAAGATAAAATGATGTTCCTACTACCTGAGGATATACTTCTCAGACTATGGTTTATACTGATTTATAATGGCCATGGTTAATATATTCCTGGGTTATCATTCTGATTCAAAGATTTTAAGGCAAAGTATGTTTATAATAAAGCACAAATCTCTCTATATAATAAGTGCAAAATATATGAGGGGTTTAAAAAAAACAATAGTAATAAATTACCACCATGTGCCTGGCTGCTTCAGATTGTACTCACAAGCCAATCAAGGATATATATTGATTCAGTAGCAAGTACTGACCTGGGTACATGCTATGTGCTGAGGAACTGTTCTTGGTGCTGGAAGCATGGCAAAGAAAACCCAAACCAAGGTCTATTTTTTTGCATGGGGTTTACATGTTAGCATGAGGCACAGACACATAAACAGATAAATAAAATGTGTATGTGACATATGGTAGGAAATATGGAAAAAGTAATGCAGGAAAGAAGAATGTGAGATGAGGCTGGGTTCCCAGCCAAGGGAGCTGAAAATTGATTGCAATTTTTAGTAGATTAATAAGAAAAAGACTCAATAATGAGAAAGTATTTGAGCAAGAATTTGATGGTGGTAAGAGAAGGCATAATACAGAAGGAAAAAGGAAAGGAATTCCAGGCTCTTGGAAAGAAAAAACAAATGCTAATATCCTGAGGAATGTGCATTCATGACATATTTCAGAAGAACAAAGATGCTACTCTGAGATTCAAAAGGGGCATAGAAGGATTCAAAAGCAGTATAGGAGATGATGAAAGCAGAGGGTTATGAGGTGGGGTGAAGAATGACATGGACATTGTAGGCTTTGTAAGGACTTGGATCTTAGTCTGAATGAGAAGAGGATCATGGAGGACTTCAAGCAGAGGAATGACCTGACTTGACATCCTTTATGAGGGAAGGGTGCAGACTTGATATTGAACCCAAGGCCTTTGAACTGAGTCACATCCAAGCCCTTTTGAGGCAGGGTCTCATTACGATGCTAATTTTCCTGGGCTGGGCTCAAACTTAGTCTTCCTGCCTCAGCCTTGTAGGGTGCTGAGATTAGAGGTGTGTGCCACTATGCCCAGATTTAATTTATTTTGTTAAGGGTTCACCCTGTCTGTGTTGAGCGTAGACTATAGCAGGAACAACTAGAGAAGTAGGAAAAGCAGCCACTGCAGTCAACTAGGCTAGAGGTGACCATGACTTGGACAGCAGTTCTGGGGAGGATGGAAAGTGAACTGATTTGGGGTTTACTGTATTTCTTTGAGTCTAACATGTTGGTGATTGAAAGATGCACCATTATTTTACGCTGCACAAAAAGAAAAACCCTGCCATTGCAACTAAGAAGTCATAACACAGAACTGTCTGATCACTTGG